CTGCTAAATGCATTAATTATTTGACATATGCTCTCGCGTAATTTATTTGCTTTTTTTGAATTTAATAGAAAGAGATGAGAGGAGAGGAGAGAGGAGAGATGCGGGGTATTTGGGATGTCCTGGGACTGCTTGTTGTCAAGGAGGAAGACAAAGAGGGAAGCAATCGATTAGCTAAAGGAAAAAAGTAAAAATTGCTTTTATTCATTCATTCTATTATATTCAGTTTGAATATATTCAATGGAATGCCAAGAATAAAGCATGTATTGTTGTATAGGCCATTCCTTCAAGAAACATCTATTTGTGATCATAAAATTTCATTTGTTAGGGTTATTCGTTACGATCAAATTGGTATGATAATAGGAATTCGCTGATATCGTCATATCCTTTATCCTTAACAGGTCGTTAGACATCAATTTGTAACAAATCGAGTTTTAAGTTTGCGAAATGTTGAGATATGACGTCATGAACGTGCTTTTCACAGCGACGCTATTGCGGGATTAGAAGAGCATACAGTATTTTTGTTTTTATGATATAGCATTCAAAGGATTGATACCCAAAGTCAGTACACTGTTTAAATTGTATGACTGGGATGGAATGGAAGGAACAGTCGTTGTCAAGTGGTTTATTTTTCCAATTTTATTGTCATTTTGAGTAAATTGATATCTTTGTAGTTGATTGACTCGTCCCGCTTTCCGCAGAATATAAACCTTCGAAATGCAACCATCCGACACTTTTTTTACAGTTTGTGAAATAATCACTCACTATAATTTCTCACAAAATAATCAAACATGTCGTTTCATTGAATTTGTTCGGCTATTCGGTCGCTTGCGCAATGTCTGTCAAATTTTAGCTATTCTGAGTGTATTGTCAAATAAAGTTTAACGAAATTTATATTTGCACGATATGAATTTAAGCAGTGTGTGTTTACCATAACAGATGAACAAATGATGACGTAATTTTTGACTGAAAAATCAAGCTTTTATAAATGACATTTTCCCATAGGATGATCATTATTGTCGCTTTGAAAAAAGAAGTACTTTTATTATTATTATAGAATTACAAGAAATTCAATAATGACCGTTAAAAACATTTTTGGTGGTGATATTTCTGTTACTACTTTCATGTTTACAAAGATCACATAATCATGTGGAAAGTGTGAAAGGGAAGAAAAAGGGCTAAGTTGTGGCATTAATTAGTGTTTTCAGCGCTATCTTTCCTAGTTAGCTTTCTTATCTGAAACTCGCTTTACTTTCCTACTATCGTTATTTCATCTTTGTTTTTTACCTCAAATTTCATTACCAACTTATAAGAAATGATTGTGGTCAGTTTTGCAATCTGATTCGATATTCTTTAAAAAGTCTTATTTGTTTCGCGCGAATGAACTGTGAAATGTACTAATTCTTTATTTAATAAGCTGTATTTGTAAAAACAAAGTAAACGAAAATAATATACAATTTCATTGGTGATGAAATCCGATCAAAAAATATTTCAACAACATTTTGATCTACAGTGTTAACAATAAAACGAGCCTCTACCAAGCTTTTCTTTTGAAGATAAATTTCTTTCAGCTTTGCTTTTTTTCTGATTCATGATTATCAAATTTAAGCATTGTCTTCCCAACTGACAGTTGAACAAAACGGTTCATTCTTCCAGCTATTACTATTTGTCTGATTTTGCCCGGAAAAATCCGAATTCGATGATTTTTTCGTTTGAGTCTTTTTGGAATTCCAATATTAGAAAGATTTGATACTCGTCTTGGGCGCTCTTCAGCTCAAGAAATTTTTTAAATCGGACAGATTCGTACCTGAAGTGTTTGAAACGTTATGATGTGAAACAAGTTTGATCATAAGAGATGCATTTTTTAATATTAAATGGATTTATTTCGATTGAACTCGCTGGAATGTGAATTCCTCTCTGTCGATTACAAATATAATTGATTAGTTTTTTACTTCCTTCTTTTCCAAAAAGCCTTTAACATTCATGTTTATTTTTTTAAGTCCTCTAATTGCAGATATGATCCAAATATGAATAGGAAAAGGATTTTTCTCGAAGTTGAGAAAGTCAGGAAATGAAGGAGTAGCATAAAAATGACAGTTAAGATAACATAGAATTTAGGAGAAATTGAAATTAATTGCACAACCTAATTTAATTTCGGCAATCAGCCGACGTTGCTTGTACGCAGAAAGATTCTTATGCAATACGATGACATGCAGCGTGTGCAGCTTCAAGACTGTAATGTAATTATCAGTTTGCGGAAACCGGTTGCATAGTTTCAGTTAATACATAAAAAAATCAAACAGAAAGAATGGATTTTATTTTACATGGTCAATTATCATTACTAGTGTTTGTGTAGAAGATTTATTATTCAGTCTGATATGGCGTTTTTTTTTTTTGAAAAGATTAACGGTAATTAAGAGAAAAGTTATAATCAATATCAGGGAAACTCTGGGAGGGGTCATATTGGTAAAAAAATCGAACATTTAAAAATCTGTGTTTTGAAAGAAAAAAAAGAACAAGCCATAGCAAAGGCTTGATCAATGACCTTTGTTTTGCTAATTTTTGAGACAAACTTTGTAAAAGATTTTTCGAAAGTATCAACAAAAATATGTAATTTATGTTATCGATGTTTTATCACTCTTGAAGTAATTTCGATATATTTTTTCTAATTTCCGTTTCAACTTCAAATTTAGTAATAATTTCTTCTGTGTTGGAAAGGAATAATGAATTGTAACCGAATTGATTTTTTTTTTCAAAATTGCTTTAAATTAGGAAAGAAATGTATCACTGAATTTCCCCATTAACACATTTTATGTTTACAATTTCTAAACAATTATTACTAAAAATTCTTACTATAAAATGTTAAGTTGCAATTATTTTTTGCGGCCTATCTATGTAGGATTATATAATGTGAAATTACATAAATATTATGAGTTCCCGGACCTATTTTGAATTTAATAGCACGTAGAAATATGATAAAAGTACTCCTTTCTTCTATTAGAAGGCTACTTGTTTATGTGGTAGTGCGAGATCAGCACTAATCACACATACAAAAGATGTTAAACTTGAATAGCTTAACTTTAAATGTTAAAGATTATATGAAAGATGGACTAACCTCAACTGATCACAATAGTGTTATCTATAAATCAACGAGGAGAGGGGAAGGAGAATGATGGAAAAAAAAAAGGTTTTCCTTTAATAGAAATCATCTCCCATTGTGAAATGAAATGGTAAACAGCTCGTTCAACAGTGCTTTTTGCAGTATCATCTGTATAAAGTATAAACTTTCCTATTCATTCTTTCCAGTTCGCTCTGATCCATTGTATCGTAATCGAAAGACGGTTTTCCGCTTAAAATATTTTAATTTTGTTTGCACATATTTTCATTATTTTTCACGACGACTTCGGCATTTTTAGAGGTCATCATAGCATTTAACGATTATTTCAGTAGGAAAATTTCATAATGTCTCGTAAATATGAATTGAAAAATTTCGTCCACTCCAATGAATTACACTGTATTTGCAGAAGCACATTGCGAATTTCGTTTTTTTTCTGTGTCTTACCAAAAAGTTCATCCGAAATTTGATCACTATAAGATTACTCTCTTAGTAGAGCGTGGATTCCAGTGCTTTGAAGAGGAAATGCATAATAGTTCAATATAAGCTTGTATATTTGATGAATGTTTGGTTTTTTAACAGTTAAACTGTTGTAATCTGTTGATTCTTTTCAAATTTTGAATTTATTAAGTGTTTGCATTTAATTTAAGTTCATTTAATCTGCAGCTTGTAAATGTGACCGAGATAGATGGACATATATCATATCATCACAACAGATACGTCATGAACGTGTGATGCCCTATCCCTGAAGATCAGGAAAGATTTCGAAAACACTCTCTCTGTGCCATGGTTAATTGGCGGCAGTTGATAGACAGTGTTGGGGTGATGCAAAGGTTGGCATTAATGGCGTGAGAAGAAGGACAGTGTCGCACTTCTTTCAAATATATTGAAATATTTTATAGAAGCAAAAAAAAAGAAAAGAAGATAGAGAACATCTGTCCTTTAACAAGGAGCGACCCATTAAATGTACTTCTTCCTTCTGAGCGGTTGTTAACGTATATTTTATGCATACTGTTGTTCCCTCCCCGTCTTTCTTCCCTATTAATAATTTCTTTCATTCAATCTGTCTATTCCTCTTTTTCCACTTAGTTCCCTTCTTCAATTAATAACAGTTGTAGAAGTAATTCAAACTTCCATTATCACATCAAGGCTATTAAATATCAGATTTCCCGAATTTTTATGTTTTCGGTACTATTTCATAACCCTCTCACACTTCTAATTGTATTACTCTTTTTCACTCTGTTTTTCGGCCATTTCTTCTTTGCACTTTTAAACAGCATCATACTTACTTTCCAGGCTCAAAAGTTTCCTCATTTATTACTATTCATTATTGTGGAATTTTTAACAGAGTTAATTGAGTTAATATCCTATTTACTTTTGAAGATAAAATCCAGTAAATAAATTTTTCCTCAGTTTGGCAGTAGGATTCTTTTATAAATTTCTTGAAACCCAAGCACTTTCTCAGAGAGCTGTATATACTCGATATTTAAGAAAATCCACTTTTCAGTTTTGCATTAATCTTTCCACAATTTTACCACCATTACTGTTACTATTAGCAATACTAATCGAATAATTTGTATTCGTGTTAGACTGTTTCCCCAAATAACCTTACATCACATTGCCCATGTATATTTTTATAAGCAGTCAAATTCGGCGTTTGTGTAGTCTTTCGCAAATCATTTTGATATTCGAAATCAAGACGCGTCAGAATCTTACAAGAAAAGCCTATTAAAAGCTGGATTACTGCTGTTGAACAAGCTTTTACCATCTCATCATCGCGAAATTCAGGATTTTCAGGGGAAAGTTTGCCTGAAGTCTTTGGAATGGTAGTGGTATAATTGATGTCGCAGCAAAGATCGAAGTGATAAATTGTCCTGTATCCTAAAAGATGAATGCTATTGAGAAGTTAGACAAAATTTTACGACGTATAAGTAGCAAGACTCGACGTACTACAACAAGACGTGTAAACTATCATCCAGAAGTTTCCAGTTCGGGTAGTGATGAAGATGATTTAGTAGAACAACAAACGGATACCTCAAAAAATGATCGAAAAGGTGCCGGTAATCGTCGGACATATTTGAAGCCGATAGTGCCAGCTATTCAAAATATCGGGACGACAACAGTAACAAAGCAATCCTCAGTAAGTGAGAAGCATTTTGTTAAAAGTAATGGGATTTCAGGCTTCAGCAGCCAGTTATTATCGTGTTTATTTAACCGCAACGGAATGACATCATTTACAGGAACAACTGGAGAGAGCATATAATCTGCAGCAACAGCAACAACAATTACAGTGCGACGAACAGAAGAATAAAGAGGATGAACATCCGAAGATTGCGGAAACTCCTGATGACCAAATGTTAAGTGATAACAACTGCGAGACTTTCAAATCCTTATTACCACCTTCCAGGCTGTCAGGTCAGGTTGTGGTGGGCTGCGCTACTCACGATAAATCATGTGAATCCGAAGATGCCGATTACGTGTCCGATTATTCTACCTACGGAGTGCAGCGGAGTGCAACACGGAAATCCATTTATGAATTGGATATGTCTATGGATGAATCGTTGCCGGAATCATGTGGACGTGAAAGTGGTTACTTGTCGGGAATTGATGTACGCTACAGCATATCAGCTGCCGAATCACCTGCATTGTCACCGCTCGGGGTAGCTTTTTTTCGAGCTCAACCATTGTTCCAGCGTACGCTTGGAACGATCACACAACAATCTTTTGACAGTGAAGAGTTCCAAAAGAACGGAAAGGATAATCTGAAAGTGGTTGCCGTTCCACGACAAATTGGCATTGCAAGAGATCTGAAGCTTCGGGATGAGGAAGCCAAGATACCGGATTATGTAAGTACTGAAAAGCTACTCCGGGATAGCATTGCGGAAACAAAATACATAACAACGATCTTTGAGCTTTCTTCGGGTGGTATCGTTGGTTTAATTGATGACGTCCTCAATGAATTTAGTTTGTGGTTCCATGAAGAGATTGGCCTTCTTGGAATTGCATGTGAGGTGCAATGGTCTGTACCGGAGAAACACCGTCATCTTGCCTCTGAAAAAAGGTACTTTATTCTTCTCTTGTTAACCTAATGCTGAAGGTTAGGCGTACATCACTAATGTCCAAGGAATGATGGAATTGATGGAAACTGATTATAGGCTATCAATATGAGAAATGAGTAAATTATGCAGTGTGAAAGTTCCAGTATACGAAATAACGTTGATTACTTAATTACTTTTGAGGACGAAGGAGATATTTTCCCTTCTACCTCGTAAGTTCCTTCCACAGTATGACGAAATAATGGGCATTTAGTAGTATGAATGATTCAAATTTCGGTTATTTTCTGTAGTGTGAGTTAATTTTAGCGGATATTTGAGTAATTTAATTACTTCGTCATTTTCTATGAATTCACTAATGAAGCTGGACTAAAATCTAGAATGAAGGAAGCCCTTCATCATTCACTTCGGCAAAACAACCGCCGTGTACTAAATATGAAAAGTAGAACTGGTAACTATCACTTGCCGTTAACGATGATATCAGCTATAACAGAGGAAAACTGTGCACGCGATTGTCAGTTAAATTGCTTTCAAGGTAAATCCTTGATATAGCTACAATTTTGATCAATTTAACTTTGTTTCAGAAGATAACTTTAAAAAAACAACGTTCCAGAAATTCGGCATTTTTCGGATTTCATGTTTATATCAAATTTCGGAAAAGTCTGTTTAATAATATATCAGATAAAGGCTCTATCAGTGCATTTTACCAATTAAAATGTGGTAATTCAATAAAAAAAGATTTCAAATTTTAAAGTTTGCATACTTGCGAAGAGGCTTTCAATTTGAAGAGTTTGTTGTCGAGAAACTGAACATTGGTTGAATTGGAACTTAGAGTTAAAAATTGTTTTCAAATCCAAATAAGATCGGGATGAGTTTTGAATGTTGTATTTGTAAGACAATTTAATGATATTGAGCCGGAAGCCTATTTATGTAAAAAGTATCTTAATCAATTTGTTCGTTAACTTAAGGTGTTTATCGTCGTTTCTACATGTCGTTGTTGCCGTATCAACATACAGACGCAGGTGTATTGCACAGACCGTACTGGAATTTACGTGATATCAGTCGACCAAATCCACAAATGCCAAATCCGGAGCAATTCATTTTTGGACGTGATGCGACTAAACTTGATGTCGGCAGTTTGGTTGCTGTCAATGTTGTTGCACTGAAAATTGCACTATAGATAATATTATTCAGAAACTTTTTTCTTTGTCATTCAAATAGCATCATTTTTTTCGAAACTTCGGCCGTAATTAGTTGCAATAGCAGCAAGAATGTTTAATTTTTATTTGCACTATCCTCGGGTTAATGGATCAATTCAAGAATTGCACGTCACGGTCAAGGAATATTATAATGTTATTCTTGGCTATTTTTAATTAGTAATTTAGGACAAATTCTTTTTTCGGAAATTAGTAAAAATTCTTACTCTCCTGATTCACTTCCTCGGTAACCAGATTAATCTAAAAGCAAACATTGTTTTACAGAATTCTCTGAGTTGATCTAAACTGTGCACTTTAGAGGTGTGCACTTGATACACTTGATTTCTACACCTGATACTTCAGAATTACCGTTCAATTCTGGCTTCCTGAAGAACAATGTTCTCGGCATTATTCATTTTATATTTTCAGCAGCAATCATTCATAACTAATCTTCCAAACACATTGCATAGAAGGACTTATTCTTTCCTCAACTGTTATTTTAACCCTTATTTGTTGTGTAAGGACACTACATCGATTGAAGTGCACTTGGACTATCTTTCATAGCATCAAATTATTATTAAATATAATTTTTAAGATTTCTCGGATCTATATCTTCTTTTTTTGCACATTCAAATGAATTAGATAAATGCTAATTATTTCTGTTTTTTCGGACTATATATAAAACATTTTAAATATCATTTTCTTATTTAATTCCATTAATCTGCAAGACTATCTTAATATTGTAATTGCTTTTGGCTTTTTAATTCCAATTCACCAACAGCATTCGGGTTTTTATGTCCTGACTGGTTATTCATCCCTAATGCATGGATCGGTGCTTTAACTTTTTCGAACTTTTTAAATCAAGTTTCATTTTTTTATTTTGGAACTTGAGCTATCGGATACATATCATAATTTCAAGTTCGAATATGTTTTAATGTATCTGTATTTGCAAATAGTGTCATACAATATGGTGCCTTCCTGTTTATCGGCCACTTTCAGCAACTGTATTGGAATAAAAGTTACGTATAGTTTTATTTGTAAGATGGAATAGCGTTGTAGACAAACTGATGTCACTGAGAACACTTATCTTTGGTCAGCAATCGCTTGATCTTCCTGAGCATCTTTGAAGCATCACATTTTTCATTCCATTAGCTCTTGCATTTCAAGTTGCTTATTAGAATCAGTGTGTGATAAACTGAGATTCAACTTTTTTTTGAAAGGAATGCTCAGCATCCTGCGGAAATTGTGTTTTTCCAAAATCCCAAAAATAAATAACCTATATCTCGGGTAATTTTGCAAAATCTTATTGGATTTAGAAGCCGGAAGTTCATTGTTGTCGACTAACTTTGAAGATTGGACCGAAATTTAAATTTGGAAGTAGTGCTAACTTGTATTTTTGTTCGAAATGATCACAAATATTCAAGTGTTACTGTTTTTCTAATACCCAGTAATTTAAGTCTGTTTACAAGCAGTTCATTTCAAGTTGCAGATGAGAATAATAGCTTGCAAACACTTTCGAGATTTCGTCAGTTTCATTAACAGACAATATAAACTCAAATTTAATATTTTTGCGTCACGCAGACAATTAGTGCAATGGGAAAAAACACAAGGAGTGGCTTGGTTTAAATTTCTTTGATTTAATTTAAATGTTAAATTCTTTAAATCTTTGCTGCCGACAACAAAGTAAGTTACAACTGTTCAGTTAACTTTTGCTAATAAGATCAATTTCTTTGCTTTTCAATTTTTCTTCCGTACTTTTTTGATTCCAACCATACTGTGGTATGCTGCCCTCTTTTATGTAACCCATCACCCTCATTTCTTTTTTTCCTTACCTATAAAAAGGTGCTCATGGGTCGGTTCAAGATCTGCGGATCAGCAACAGCTTGCTTGAAATCGGAAATAGTATGCAGAAGACATTTTGCTGCAGATTCCGCAACGTTAAACAGATCTCTTCTGTTGGTTTTCTTCCTCCTTTATAATGATGAATAGAATTCAAGTTACTAACGACGAGAGTTCATTCTCGTATTCCGTATCCGACCATGGAATAAGTAAAAAATGCTTCAAATCATTATCATAACAAGGTGAATTGAGAGTGTTTCCCAGTTTCATTGTTAAATAAGATCTGTTATAATATCGGAGAAATGAGAATTTCCAGATCGAAGATTTTAGAGAAAATTGATGCTGTTACTGTTAACCGATTTTAGCTGAAAGTAAAAGCGGAAAATGCAGTGGAAATGAACAAAACAGCCACACGTCTGCTGCGAATTGAAGTCAGAGATGTCAACGATAATTTGCCAATCTTTTCGGAGATTCGCAGTGTATTTTTTTCTGGAAATTTCATTAAAAATGAAACTCTAATAAAACACAAAAATTGAATTCCACGAAAGGTTCCCATTTTCTTTTTCTCTCATTCGCATTTCGCTGTGTAAGAAATTGGAAAACAGGAATGGAATAAAGACTGACTCTCAAAATCTGACGTAAATGCCGAACAGTTATAAACTGATCATCTCGATCATTAATTTCCATCATGCACTGATCATGAAATTTCAGTCAGTACCTTTAGTATTCATAATTCAATCGGGTAATACGGTTGTTGGACGATTGAAAGCAGTGGATATAGATGATGCACCATACAATTCGACATATTACTATATGCTACCTAGCTGTAAGCTTTATTTCCATCCTTCGCTACGGAATAAATTGAATTTAACAGTAAACAACAAATAATGAAATGAATCAGATGAATGAAATATGAAGAAGAGAGAAAAATTAATGTAACAAAAATCACTGTAAAGGTTCAAATCGAGATGGCATATTCACTGTTGATAAACGAACTGGCATTATTTCGGTAATAAATCCCAACGATCTCAAATATGATGAATATCACTTGTGTGCTTTAGCTAGGTAGGTCTTATAATTCTTTATCAGTTTTCGAGATTTTGTTTAAATTTATTCAACTAATAAAAATTTTTACCCTCTAAAAGATTATTTTAAAGTACTGCATATCAGCAAAGGATTGTTTTAAGAATGTTTTAAGCATTTCATATTTAGATGCTTTTTCATAAAATTTAATTATTATAGTGCCTTCAATATGTCCAAGACACCGGAAATAGCATTTGACAGTAATAATGCAAGTATGATTGCATTTACAGTACGAATCGAAACAAATAACGCTGTAGAGCAAGCGAATAAAATGAAGCATCTTTTCGAAAACAATACTATCAGCATATTTGGTAAGTAAATCTCTCTGGCTTCTGAATTAAGCTTATCATTAAAAACTTGAAACTCTTTAAATTGGGAAATAATGGCTAAGACAACTTTCAATTTTTTTAGGAATTGATTCAGCATTAACAATACCAGTGACTCAGCTGAAAACTCATCAACCAATAATCACATATCAGCTTGGATCAATGCGATTCACACCGTAAAGATACTTCTTTTTTCCCTTTTGTGTTTTTTATTTAAACATACAACATTTTAATCTCTTCAGTGCCGAAAATGAAGAAATACCCACTGAATCAGCACCATACTTCTCAGTCGACCCTATATCAGGCGACATCCGCATTGATCCAATGCTTGGTGATTACGCGGAAGGTGTGTTCACGTTTGATATTGTTGCTACTCAACAACGAACAACTACTGAATCCTTACAAATTGCACATATTGTTAAACAGGTGAGCTTATTTCAATTTTTCATGACTGAAGTTTTTATCAGTCATAGACAGAAATGGTGGAGAGGTGTCAGTGAAGTCATTCAAGTATTTCTATGAAATATCTGGATCAGATTATCATTTAAAAAACTGACTTATTGCAGGATTCATAATTTTGGATTGCAAATTCTGGTCCAAATTCTTTCCCAAGATGTGACATAGAAATTTTTAAGGTACATAATGTGAAACTTCCATCGCTGCTAAAATTTATCTTCGATCAGAATGCTCATCTTCTAGGATTGAATCTTGAGGATTTTAAACAGTAAGTATGCAGTTGAATTCAAATGTTATATTCTTTAATGTCGCCATAAATTGCTTCAAGAAATCACTATTCCATCTAGAAATATTCTGAAGATAAAAATTTTGTCTACACTTCTTCTTGCAGACATCTGCGCAATGCATTGAAAATGGAACCAACAATGTCCGACATTTCTGTAATTTTTGGCTCACCTCACATTTACGAATCAGCGGGACGAAACAGGCTTGTGCTTCAAAATTTAATTTTATCTGACTTTTTTTTAGACTAGTTTTGAATATTCTCTTGAATTAGTTGTAAAAGAGAATGAAATAACAAATGTCCTTCTCTGCAGTAAGCTATATTAGTATAATCAATAAGGACACGTGTATAGTGGCACGTATAATAGACACGTATAATTAATGACACGTATATAGCGCATCAAGAATCTATCATTTTTATTCCTTTCATTATTTCAAAATCTGTTCGAAAATTAATAATGGCTAAAAAATTCATTAATAATTATAGGTCATCGGTATGCTTTCACTCCTTACGCAATGGAATAATCCTCGGACAGGAAAGTGCCATTTCAATACTTTCTGCAACGTTGAATGGTAGAGGCACGCTATCACGCCTTTACCAAGTATTTAAAGTAGCTAATATAGAGGTAAAGTTGTGAATGACACCATTTCATCGATACTTTTAATTGAAAAAACCTATGAAGCTATTATTTGTACATTGCTTATTTAAAGTAGATCGGTTTCTTGCTTTTTTTCCAAAAATTTCCGAAGTATTAAAGCTTTAAAAAAATACATGTATTTTAGCCATGCGTTGAGCCAATTCGTACATTATCATCTGGCTTAATGATATCACGTTCAGCATTATTTTGGGCTGGCTTCTCACTCGTTGGCATCTTAATATTACTGTCATTTTGTATATACGCTTGTTTTATCATCCGTTATAAGAACTATTTGAATATGAAGAAAGCATCTCTTGGTCAATTTTTCTTTGATTTTTTGAATTCAGCATGAAAATTATTAAATTTAAATTAAAATTCGAGTTTGAATATTAAAAACGATTAACACTTTGGCTTATAAGTTATGGCGTTTATTCATTGTAATATCAATTTGCTGGCGGAATAAATTCTCTTAGAAGCTTAGCAAAAATGAACTATAATATTATGATTCTATCTTGACAGTGTACAGTTAGGGAAAAAATGAATTACAGTCACTCTTATTTCTATTTTTTAAAAGTAAAAAAATAAACAGTGGGTTGTTTACAGTATTGGCATATTACCATAACACTCTCACATTATTATTTATTATATTCATCATTGATGCAAAGCATGTTTTGAATGAAAATAATGAGATTAATAAGTTAGTAATAATAACATTATTTAGCAGACGAAACATCGTCATCCACCGTATCGATCAAACAACTACCTTCCGTGCAATTTTATAGCATCAACAATCTGTAAGATTAATTTCCCATTTGAATTTTCGATATTCTAACTTTTACTTTTAAAAGCTAAAAATTACATATTTATTCTATTGCATTCTCACTAGTTCGATTGATTTCATGTTTTTCAATCGCGCCAAAAGCGTAAGTGTGAACATTTGCAGACCGGCGATGGATTATTAAAGAAAATTTTGACGTAAATTACAACACTGATAATATTGGAAGATTTGTTTAATTTTCGTATGAATAAATAAAGCATTTTTTCATGCAGTTTGCGCATCGATTTATTTATTTTATGAAATAATAAAGTTAGTATAAAACTGATGTTGCTTGTCGTTTTCATGCGGCATATACTGTCTAGCAGTTGAAACATTAAGGCAAATAAACTGTATGGGCTTTTCTTTTTTCTTATTGAAGAAATTCTTAACTGAAAATATTAGCTTGAATTTTAAAGTGGAATAACATAGACTGGAATTGAGTCGCCTTCAACAAATATTTTCAAAAAATTACTATTACCGCTGACGTTATTGTCAGTTTTTTTTTAAACTCAGCAATCAAAATTCACATGGGAAGAGATGAGAGATTACAAATGAGTTATCTTTTATGGTGGTACGGTGAAATTTCTCCTCGACTATTAAGCTTTGATTTTCATTGCAAATGTAAGTATTTCATAATACGTTTTCCTTTTACCTCTATTCCTTCACTCTTTTCCATTTCTCCTTTCCTGTTATTTGATTCATATCTTCTTCGGTTCTCCGAATGCTGATAACTATCAGATAATTATTCTTAAATACTTGTACTACTGGTAAAATGATTGTTTTGCAATACTGCTTCCAAATAGTGTATTTAATTAATTACCAATGATTAATTTACTGATAATGGAAAATTATTTTAAGAATGATGAGAACAGAAGGGAACAGAAAACGGAAGGAAGGCCTAGGAGTTTTTAGTAAACAATTACTGAAATCCATTCGGAGACGTTGAATTGGACACATCAAACTGGTGCTTAAAATACCAACAAAAAAGAAAGATTGATAGTTTATTTTTAAATGTTCTGTGTCATTTACCAATGATTTTTACTAACCAGTTCTGTTGTACTTTAAGACGTATTTTTGCTTTATCTTTTTCTTTTTTCTTTAAATTATTTACCGATGCATAAATTATTTATCAATGCAATGTACAACGGATAAAGTAATGAAGAATTTTGGTATAATTGCAACTATTTTGTTAAGGTTGATATTTGAGCCGCTCAGGAGAATGATACTCTTATCATTTAGAACTATTTTTCGAAAACCGTTAAAATTGTGCTAACTTGAACTACCGTCAAATTGTTCGACGTCAATATTCTCTGCACAACAAATTCTTTGCGCAATTCTATTTGAAACTATATTCGAATAATTTCAAAAAAAAAGGACGAATTTAAAACTTTAATTTCTGTTGCTTAAGTAGCATTGTAAGTAGAAATTTCACCGTATTTTTCATGTGATTTACCCGTTTTATTTATATGTTTATTTTTCAAAGAAAAGAATGACTTATAAAAATTTGAGATTCAAGCAAACAGACTAGAATGCTAACATCTGGGAAGGAAAGAAAATTACTGCGATGGATAACTAAAAATCAACAGAAATTTAGCGACCGTAAGACTTTCCATAGAATCCTCAGTTGCTTAAATTGATCAGACTCTGTCACTCATCTTTTTGGAAGATGCCGATAGTTATCATATCTTGTCCTTCTTGCCTATTTGAAACCAAACGGAAAATTGGTTTAACTATTCCCCAAACAATTTTGTGCTGTGTAAATATGTTATTCGGAATGAAGCGTGTGTGTGAGTGTGTGTGCGTGCATATGTATATGTATATGTGTGAAAACATAATACTATGATTATTTTTCTAATTTCATCATACCATTAATGAAAACAAGATAAAAATAGAGGTACCGGTCCATTCCCGTGACATATTGATATATGATAAAAGATCAATAAATAGTATTATGTGGTGACAGCAGATCAACAAAAGTTTCGGTCTCAATCAAACTTCAATATGTAGTGATTGCGTGAAAGGTGATCATTTCGGACAGTGATAATCTAGACCAGTTCAATCTTAAATTTTGACAAATTTAAAAGTTATTTCGGAAACAATATGAATAATTATCAACGAATAGCTTTAAGTAGCTATAGCTTTAAGGAATAGCTTTAAGGTATTGTCACGCCAAAAAGATTCATTTTAGATCACAAAAAAAAGATTTTTAGTTGTTGCCTTTCGCTGAGAAAACCCGACATCCAACAATATCTGCTCCAAATCATATCATAAACACACTGTTGTTGTCCGTCTATATACTCCGCCTTTTTGTTGAACTTTTCCCCCTACTTCCATTTTTGCCGTTGCTGTCCACGCTTTTTGACTCTTTCCATCATCGTTGTATCTTTTGTAAAAATATCATTCTCATTCCCGAGATTAACTTGCAATTATCTCGAGAAAATCATCCCGTTTCGTAAATTGCTCATTTAATTATAAGCGACAATGGTTACGATTAAATGAGCGACTAATGGAACGGAATGATTTGAAAGACGATGATTGAAAACCGCGGTGGAAGTTTCCAATCATCGCGCATCGTATCACTACTAGGTGAAACGCTGTGCCCAAACGATTTCATGGCCTTTTGGTGATTTCGGTTGTACGTTATTCACTTTCTTTACGCTTCCAATAATCTGAAGATTTTTAGCAGATTGTTTCTTCAAGCATTTTACGAAATTCAAATTCAAAATTTTCAATGATTCATATGACATTTATTGTAGTAGCATTTTCCAAGCGCTACTTCATAGAATATTGTGATTTGTTTCTCCTTTGCTCTTCGCTTGTCTCGTTTTCGCATGTTTGAGGAATATTTTGCGAAGTATAAAAGATCGAGTGAACTATAATTGAGTTGAATCATTTCGTAATTAGCATAAAAACATTTAAATTCAAAATAGTATACTTAACTCTTTCGTACTTCGAAAAGTACTTTTCAAATAAAAGCAGATCGTGAAGAAAAAAAAGAATTGTGTTCTGGTGAGTCCAAATAAATACGTCCTGATTGGGATTTGTTCCTGGAAATGAGAAGCTTAGATGGATATTACTATAATAATTAAACTGTCGAAAGAGGGAAAGATAATTAAGACAAGTGAGAAATGTGATAAGTACTTTGGCCTGAATTTGTGTGCTTTTAAGATAATGCAGCAACTATAAGGTCGAAAAAAGCCTTAGTTTTAAGAGCCAAAAAAGAAAAAAAAAGAAAGCAGAAGAGAAATAACCATCAATATTCAACTTCCAAATAGTCACTTAAATGCGTCGGCAAAATAATAACGTGAAAAAAATTTCGTTTTTCAGTTTTTACTCGGACAATTACTTGTAGCTAGAAAATTTCCAATTTCAATAAAACTACAAGCACATCAAGTGATGAGACAGTTCTCCAATTACTTTGTTTTCAACATTGAATGTCCTTTTATTCTATATAAATAAATTAATCATCGAATGAGTAGTGCAAATATTTCCACGGTTATCTTAAAAAGCAGATATGTGACACACCTGAAATCCCTTCTCAGACGTTTTATTTCGATATGTTCCAATATGTTTTCACCGACAAAAGTGAAAATTTTTTTTAAAGATCGTTCTCTTAATTTCATGCTTACATCTGTGCTTGGAAAAATACTTCAAATTGAATTCTAGGAGAAATAGTGCTCATTGAGGCTTTAAGCAGTCGCTAAACACGCATGTAAACAATGTTTGAATATGTATTTATCAACTTCTCGTTTCTTTTGCTCTTCGAGAAATCAAAATTAATTAACATTCAATTTAAAAGTAAACTATCGATCGAAACATTCAACACTTAGTCATAGTGAAATTTACCAACTGGAATTAATAACCAACAAAAGTAATCAATAGCCGTGTGTGTGTGCGTCTGTGTATGTATGCATGTGTGTGTATGTGTATATATATTTTGTATGTATATTATGTGTGTATGTGCATGTATGTATATGTACGTTTCCATTGAAATATATATATATGTATAATTTCATAAAGATTACAATAGTTTATAATATTTCAGTGAAAACGCTGCGATTTTTTTTCTCTTACTTAATGCAACATTTTTGCATGCGGAAAAGTAAAAACAATAGCATTTCTTTTTTTCGCTAAACAGTGTCACAAATGCACATACTTCTCCTAAATTAAATATGTAAAGGCGGAAAAATTAGGAGGACTTCAGAAGAAAAACATGTAAAAAAAGCAATTTCCTTTAAAGACTTTTTTTATTGAATGCTAATTCAATCCATTCCGCCATATTAATCTTCGCAGTAACTTTGCGTTTATCGATCGAATGTTTTTTTTTTTTAGGTTTCAAGTAAAAACGTAAAAATTTAGTTCCCATTAATAGTGCAACGAAACTAACTTGTGAGATATTGTGAAATCAATGCTAGCTAATATGGACATACAATTAAATTATATAATGACTCTCTCATTTTGAAACGAAATTAATAGCATCCTTCATCGGTCTATTACTCTCTCTTTCTTTATATCTCATTTTTTCTGCTTTTTCCTTGATTTCCGTAATTATGGATGAATTAACTTTTGTTTGACGACAGCAACTCTATGACATATTTTCAACCTCATTTTTACTTAAAAGATTTGAAAACAAATCGAGTAAGTATACTTTCTATGTCACTTAAATTGGAATTCTATTAAAGCAAATTCATGCAGTAATTAACGGCTGTCACTAATGAGGAAATAATGGAATAATATGATCTACTCAACACGTATTGTCTATACATTGCTAGGTAACATTCCACAAAATCCAGTTATTTCTTACTCTTTACTACTAAATTTCTTATTCTAAGCCGATATTTTCATGCACTCATTTTTTGGATTTTTTGCTTACAAAAATTGCCGTCGTCGTCGTTTTCATGCTTTGAATTCTCTTTTCAATTCCTTGGTAATAAATATTTATTTGAAGATGTATATTCTTGGTGATAAGTCGGATTTCACGAATCAGATTATCAAGTTAATTACCAATGCATCAATTGATGCCGAACAACACATCATCGGTTTGCTTCTTCTACATTTTTTTTTTGCTTTTTGTTAGTTGCTTACTTTTTCGAGAAAAATTAAACAGTTAAAACTTTCCACTATATCTTTACGATGCGCTGCAATTTTATAAATATTTAATAAATTAGACAAATAGTTCAACATGTTACAGTGTTAAATAGTCCGCTATGAGTTTACTTACGTAATTGTTAGGCAAAATTAATGATGTAAATGCTACATGTGATGCAGTAATTCTTAATTAATGCTTGCATCATTACAAAAGGATGAGTTAATCCTAATTCGTAATTAGGGAGTGGAGATTTAGGCTGATCCAGAAATTTCCCTTTTAGACCATGATTACTATAAACCAAATAAACTCATACCCATCTAATGAAATTTCATATTGTTCGAATATTAGAAATTGCAAGTAATAAAGTTCTTACAAGTGCATGATACTTGCTATTCACATTATTTTCTCGAAAAACCCGATTTTTTGCTCTTAACCATTTTATAGCGTTAATTGGAGAGGGATGACGATAGAGCTAAAGGCATAGGTGATTAAATCAGTAACTAAATACATAAAATCTTCTGTCTTTTACAAGTGAAATATTTGACATTCAAGATTTTAAAATCAGTGATAATCCAGATAATGTAAAGCAAATAATATCAAGGGAGCCGATTATTTTTTGTGCGACAGCTGACTGTGAAGCCGTAAAGTGTGTGACACCTTACTTAAATGTTAGTTTGATTTTTTTCTGAATTATCGAAAATCTGAAATGACTTAAAATAGCCATTAAAATAGCCCTGCGGGACTATTTTATTATTTAACAGATAATAATATTCCGCAGTTCAGATTTACAAATCTAAATTAATTTTCACCTTATATGATGTGAAGTTTTGGAGAAAAAGTGAAATATTTTGTTTCTTACCTCATATGCAACTTTAGGCCGTGGAAATCGACACTTTAAATAAAATATTTAATAGAAAATTCAAAATTCAATAAAGGAAAAATTGATGGGGACTTCATTTTCAATACACTGTGTATCACTTTTCAACGAACGAATAATAACTTTATCTCCTCCTTTTAAGTGATGAAATTAGACAGGCTGTCAACTTTATAACTCATTAAGCAATTTTTTTAATCCATTTTAATTCATTTGTTTTAATCCATTTTTCGATTCTTGTAAAACGATTTGTTAGAACTGTTTAGTCGAAAATAATCTGAATAAGTAAGGAATTTGAATTTATCTTTCACGTTAGTAACTCACTCGACCTTGATTTGAAATTTTTTTTTTGACTAATCATTTATCACAAGGGTGCTAATCTACTTGTCCTTTTTTGGTTTTGTTTTTTTTTACTTGAAATATTGGATAAACAATTTTCTCCAGTTTGGAGTTTTTCAAAGATCGAAAAACTCGGAAGACAGTGAAACCATCTATAATAGGCAGTATTTTTTTCGTCAAGAATGCATTTTTTTGCAGCAAAAATTTCGTGTGAATTGCAAATTTCACTGAATTATCAGGTCATCACAAAGTCCTTACCACTAGTTATTATTTTCTGGATTTTAAATTCTGGAAAAAATGTCCAGTGATTTTTTTGAGAAAATAAGTGTTGACAAATATATTTCAAAAAACCGAATTATATGGCAAGCAGGGATTTAACATGTCGGTACGTACTGTTTGTATATGTCTGTTGCATGACAAAATTTAGTTAAAAATTAATTTGAACTGAAAAACCTTTGCAATTAATTTGAATTGACAAACTTTGTAATCATAATACTTTAGACCATAATTATACCCGAACATAGAAAACAAAAAAATATATAACGAAAACCCAAAGACATCACAGTTAATAAATAATAAAAACTAACTAAACACCTGTCCCAAACAACCTATTCCTATTTCTCGATCTGACATTTTACTGCTATGTTATAAATATTATCAGGAAAATTGTTGTTGGTGTATGTATGCTCGAAAGACAAGCGGTAATGTATTGACGGATATTGTTTAGAGAATATGATTCGAATTTACAGTAGGCTAGTCAGAAGGCAACGAAATGATTATGGTATCAAAACAGTCCGGTCCATCATGCATTAGCGTGATGATACAATAAACATTGCTATGAAGAGTTTTACACATTCTTCATGTTCATAGAATGTGTTGGTTTTTTTACACTCCAAAAACTGCAAAATATTCTTTGAAGCAATAAATTAAAAAAAGAAAGCTCTCTGATTGAGTGGGCAGAGAAGTATGTACTTGATATAAAAAATATATCAAGCATATTCTCTCCAGTTAATACAAATAGAGCAATAACTACTAATGTTTAGTCCCGACAATTCGCTAAATATAATTACTTATAATGATTCTACACTTTGGCAGCAGAAGAGTTCTTGGAACGTAAAAAAAAATTAAACTAAATGAGTAAATCTCTGCTACGCTGTTCATGTCATCAACCTAACTCCTCCTTTAATGAAAAAAAGGAAAAAAGCTAAGGAAAAGGAAATCCTTAAATCCTTACGACTGAAATAAGTGATGAAACTTTTAAGTTATAAAACTGCACAAACACTCCTACTGGATTAGAAGTAACTCGCGTTGCTTTTCAGGAAAAATTACCTGTTATCTTTGTTAAACAACAATGGAGCAATGAGGAACTGAAACTTGTAGAGTCAATTATTCAGGAATCACTATCCATCAGAAGACAACTATGGCACGATGAAATTAAAAAATTAAGGTTTCCGGATCGGTTTATGAAAATTTGATAATGCTTTGAATATTGATTGCAAAATTAAAATAATTACTTTAAATTTTTTCAAAAACCTCTTTTTTAAAAATTGTGTTTTCTTTAGCACACTGCAAGGCAGAAAGGCTCAAGAAGAACGTGTAAAAAAGTTGAATCACTGGATCGATAATACTTCCGTACAATACCACTGCTTTTCGCCTTCTGAAACTGATTTTAAGGTAATTTATAAAATACTGCTTCTATCTCCAAGTAATTCAACGACTCGACCATGTAAATTACTAATTAATTTCAGGACACTTAAGCCAGATTTAATTTCTTTTCTGACACGAAGAAACACTAAAGAATTAAAATGACTTAAGTGATATTTTTTAACCTGTTCTGTTAATACCAATGTTTGTTTATCACTCTTTTAAATCATTCATTTCTGAAAGTTACTTCCGATGTGAATTTTAGAATTTTTACAAAGCAACTGTTTGGAACTTGAAGAATTTCAAATAAAAAACTTGATCATTTTTAATGAATAATTTTTTGTTTCAGAATAATTTGATAAAAGTTTTGCAATCGAAAGCACCAATCAAATGCACTCACCAGTTAATAACAACAGTCTCCCACAGACCACCGGTAATGGCCGAATTTCTGTAAAGTTTCTGTAAAGACTTTTCTCATTGAAGAACGTACAATTATTTTTCCCACTTGAATACGAACAGTATAAGACCGCGCTGTTATCCAGTCGAAAAATCATACTACAAATTTCGAACAAATCACATTCGGTGTCATTTCCCATAATCAGATTTGAAAATGAGATCCATTTGCAGGCGTTACATTGGACATCGCTACCACAGTCGGATGAAGCCCAAATAACTTTTAAAATAGCATTCCCTCAAAGCTGTTTCACGATAAGTGAATTATTTGAATTGGTGAAAAAGATCAGTAATGTTTACAGGTGGCAATACCAGTACGAATGGAGCCATGGAGTGCTTTTTAGAAACGAAGCTGTTTGTTTTGAAGTTGAAAATTTTTTAATGAAATAAGAGATAATAAAAGTCTTAATGAACTACTGATGACTGAGATCGAAAAGAAAGACCAAATCTTACAGGACTTCTCGACCTGAAAAAATTTCCTGTTTGTTTTAGAATCCTGCATTAGAAACTTAATTTCCTACCATAGTTTTAAAAAAAATGTTACTTTGGTTATTTTGCTCAATAAAACTACTGGCAGAAACAACTCAGTGTTTCAGGCCAAGATTGCAATAATAAAACACGATGCAAAAACATTAGAGATATCAGGCAGAATTGATAACGCCATTATGGATGATAATTTTGACACGATGCCGATGAAATCCGTGTGGCCTTATTTATCTATTGCTTTGTCTGTCGCCGTGCAGTATTTCGATGAACTTTCGTTACAGTACATAGTAAATAGATTCTTTTCTTCCTGTAATTTACTAGAATAAAAATTTAAAACTCAGCCACAAATTCATGGTACGCAAAAAATAAATAGCCCAATAATATTAATCAGGGTAAAACGATGAAAATGACCATTATCAGAGTTGAGCAGAAAACCACGATTCGAGGAAGTTCTGAATTTTCAGTCGTAAAACTCCGTCCTAACACCATCACTGATACTTTTTACTGTATAAGTTTTTTTTTTTTTACACAGATACGAATTATTCCGTTTGGCAGCATCTTTTATAAAGAAAGTGATGCTCTTCCTCGAGCATTTGATTTGACGCAGCTGCTGATCTCGAATGATCTTTTGAAACGAGTTGCCTATCGAGATAACGGGACTCTTTATCATTTGAATCTGGTACAATTGTTCCCAGGTCAGTTTTTTCCTTTTATTAGAATCCTAATCAGATTTACCTGAACTTGTCAGATGAAAGCGCTATATGCACCCATTTGACATGAAAAATAATCAACCCAGCGATATACAGCTTTAGTTGATAGTTTTCTGTAAATTTCAAAAATAAATTTAAAAAATCAAATTTTAGAACTGAAACCAAAAACAATTTCCGAAATCAGTGAAATGAAAGCGAGAAATACTAACAGTACAAGAAAAGAGGAAAGTGATTTGAGAAATGACAATACATTTTTATCTTTACCAGAGCGCGCTTATCCTAACAGTTGCGGTCGACGAGTATCGTTTGGTACCATAAAGTGTATCCCACAACCACCTCAAAAGGATCATGTAAAGATCATTTCATACTGTTGAATATTTTCAGTGTTGAAGCCAAACTACACGTTAAATATCTGTTCGTTCAGCTTCAACTATCCACTGATTCCAAATGTAATTTTCAGGTAGAGTTAGATGTCGAGTTAGATGATGTGTCAGATGAAAAGCCTACAGGGATACAATATGAAATAATGCTTGATAATTATGTGGACCTAATCCTGGACGAAACAATGAGCCAAATCAAAATTTCGTGATCTTTTGATTCAAATGATGTGCTTTTGGGATCAAATAAATCCGCTATACTTAGCTTTGTAGCCTTGATACATATATAAAGTTATGTTCAAAAGAAGTGCAAAAACAACTGATAGTAGCAAACGATCTAATACTCCTTTTCCCTGACTAAGAATGAACTCAGTATATGACAAATTAAAGGCAAATCAAATGATAATGACAACTATGTTAATTCGCAACTAATACCGATCAAATTTACAAAATAACATTTAGTCAGGAGTTGAAATAATTCCACAAGAACAACAAACAACATACACTGACCTGGGGTAATGAGAGGAAAAGAAGATATCGATGTTTGGAAGAGTACAGGGTGAAAAACGTCTGAATGATATGTAACGAGAGATTGAAAAAAATGACAAAGAATAATTTAGACAGGTAAAGTTGCCGATATTCTGTAACCGGAAGTGTTTCTTATCAACAGCAGCAGACATAGAAGAAAAATATCAGCAATTATCCGAAGTGGGTTCATATTCAGGACGCGATTAGTTACGTGTGTGGGAGGTTGGCAAGGTGACGTGGCGTGGGTTTCTTTTTCCTTGAGTTGGTGGAGTTGTCTAGGTTTAGAGTGTCTTTGAAGTTCTGGTTGTTGACCCGGAAATATGGAGCAATGAAGAACTGATGGTTATCCGATATTGGAAAATATGTTGAAAATTCGGAAAGATTACCAAAGATGTTCTGGAAAGGACTGAGGAAAAAAGAAGAAATTCTACCTCCAAAAATGCTCCGTTTATCATTTTTTGTTATTTTCCTTCTACAGCAATGTCTTAGTATAGTTTTAGGAACTACTGGTATCTGTTGTGAAGTTGATATTTTGGAGAAAATATCATTTCTCCGTGCTATCTTTGTGGATTGGTATAAGAGCTGTTTTATCTGGACTGGAATCTCATCAGGATTGTCAGCGTTTGAGAATCACAGAAAGTGGTGTCACAATTATAAAAAAGCAATGAATGTGTTAAGCAAATTTCTAGTTGGTACACTTGGATTAAAAATCAACGAAGCGACGTGCTATGAGATGGTGCATACGTGGAATCCCAATTGTTATGGAGCTATCTTCGATTCATTGCGGCATGGATGGTTATTTTCCTTCAAGACCTATGTCATCTTTTACAGTGTAGGTTAAAGAATTATGAGAAGTAAATTGTAGCTCTTATAGAAACTGTGCAAGTTGAAGGCATGATATCATATTGATGCTGTTAGTATTTAACTCAGGCAGATTGTTCAAAAGTGAAAGTTTAAAAGTGCGATGCTGTTTCTTTACAATTTTTTCCAGGTGACATCAGCTATTTAATGAAGGTGTCGATGGGAAGGAGTTAAGTATGTAGGCTGCAAAACTTAATACCATCTAGACTCTTTTTTCCGTAATTTCACATTTATAGGAAAGTACTAGAAATTTAGGAGAAAATATCTTGAACTTTTGCAAGGCAAATAAATAAGAGCAACAATTACTTTCAGTTGACTAACATCTTTTCGGCAAAGGATGTACGACAAGTTTGTTGGCGTAAAATATTAGCTGATTCAGTTCGATCTTCTTTTTTCTTATCAACTAATTTAATTATTTTCCTTTGGCTAAATTGTCAACTAAGGTTTGTCAGAAGTTGCATTTCACCACAATTTTTATTTTGATGTCTTTTATTATTATCGTTGCTAAATAGGTACTTTTTTATATAATTATAGGAAAATATTGGGATTCTTCACCGTTCCAACACTTGGTTTTATGAATGGTATGATTTCTGCATTAGTTGCTATTTTCATCGAAAATCAGAAGAGAAGGCCTCTGCTAGCCTTGTATCTAACGAACTTGGTCTGCTAAAATTTCAATATAATGTTAATTTTGATTTTTCTATTTTTAAATGAGAAAGGGGAAGGACTTCATTAGACAAATTGGGCGATTATAAATTCTTCCTCTACATAAGTTGATTTTTCCATAAATTCGTGTCACATTTGTCATTCATGAGAAATATGACACGTAGGTGTTTCTCGATGAAGTATGATTTTTAGAGGACAATGATTGAAAACTAATATAATTAAATAGCCATTATTTTAAATCGTTAAAACATTTACCATATATTAGCTTTTGTAACCTGCAGTATCTGTTCCAGGCTTATACATCCCAAGTCTCTATAATTTTTGATTTCAGTTCGGTTTTTTTGATACATGTAATGCGAACAGTTAGAATAACTAGGAATGCATTAATGTCGATAATTTTGAAAATGCTTGCTTCTGTGTTAATTTCTCATAAAATTTCATGTTTTACCTCTTCTTGGATAGTTTTTAATAAGGAAGCATTTGCAGGCATCAGAAACAGCTTACCATCAGTTGGTCAATCACGGTTACCTGAAATATATACCAAACGGTGCAGTGATTGTATTTGGAATTGGGCTTGCAGGATTGCTTCATTTATATTGTAAGGACAAACTTCACAGCAATTTAAGGAAATCTATCGAGTATGCTTTATTCGTTCCATGAATGCTTCACATTCTAGCAGTAAGCGTTGTGAGCCTAATGTGTGGTGTATCGTGAGATGTTTCTTGCAGTATACCAGCGGTGAAGCGTCAAGTTCGATCTTCTGTCATGTTCAGTAATTTCAGTTAAACATTCAATTGCCCAGATAGACAGCGAAGTTTACAAATAAAATGGAAACTTCCGCTCACAGTCTGGGGGAAATCATTATGAGATATAAATTCCCTGATGTGGAATGATCTGTCTTCCATGTTATCCCATCATATACCTTACATATAATTAAAGATTTTGGACTTTTATGGATAAATAGTAATTCAAATTTTGATATACGAAAACAAAGATAGGAAAAAGATGAAGGCTTACTATCTCGTAATAAAAAAAGGAAAAATATTTAATTTTTCTGTTGAATGACCTCAGATTATATGCTTTTAGAGATATTGTGATTAGAATTTCCAATTTTTTTCTTAGATTTGCATGTAAACTTGTGTAAAAAATATTTTATGTGGAAATCGGATATCATTTATTTAGCTTTTCTTTTCACTTTGCAGGTATGTTTTATTGAATGAAACGAAAGAACTGTTTTCATATAAAGTGATTCAGAGGATGTATTCTCCAATCGGAACTGCTCTGCTAGTGCTACGGCAAAGGTATGCAAAACATCCATTATGCCGACACCAACATTCGTGCATTAGCAGATTTATTGAGGCAAGCAGTTCTTCCAAAATACTTTTTTTTTTTAAATAACTATACATGTGCACGTTGATCTTAGTCTTTTTGTATGTGATAAAGTAATTAGTTTCATATTATTTCTATTTCAAATATGAACTTTTACATGCTTGCAAGAAACTCTTTATAACTATTAAAGTAAGACGTATTCTTGTGGATGAAAATTCAAGGTTTGGAAATTTCATCATTCCATTTTCTGACTCAAGATCTAAGAGTTAAATATTTCAACAAAAGTAAATCAGCTATATAATAAAAGGAGGAGACAGAAAAACAAAAGAATGATCAAATTATCACTAGTAGTGTATGACATGTCATAAAACTTTCCTGATGAGAAGTTTTCCAGATTTTGGTGCAAAAATCAAAGTTTATAAAATAGTATTTCTCATTCATCAATGTGCTATATATTTCTAGGTGTTTTTCAATAATTTTTCTCAAGCTCTAATCTGGAGTGTTTGTATGGCGATTTTGAAAATTGGAAAAGAAATGATACGCCAACCGACTGCGTCTGTTAGGCGTATTCTGAGATTTCGAACTCTACGTCTACCACTATTTTATGGATTTCTGGCATTACTGTTTCAAGTGCTGAATTAGTTCTTTTTTTACTTCATTTTCTTTTTCAATGAAATACAATTTTGTTTCATTTTTCTTCAGTGTATGAATTTTGTATTTTCCTCTCTGAAACTCGACTTCTTTATATGTTCTTGTTCCAGAAAACGGAGCATGCATGCATATGTGAATTAGGAAATTATGGTTTTATAAAACTTTAAATCAATAGAACATATGGGCTTGAATCTTTTACTAATTCGAAAAACGATTTGCCGGATATGATAACTGGAATGTGTGACCACGGCTTAGCTCTATACATTATATCGGCGACAGGGATGCAGTTTGGTGAATGATGGGCTATTGCTTGATCCTTACGTTTATCTGCTTTATTTTTAAAAATTAATAAGAGGAAAGTTTCTGTTAACCTCACTTCAGGTTTCACGATGTGGCTATAGTTGGTGTACAAATCAGGTTTCACCGTTATCTCTTTGTGGTGCAATAGGTGGTTTATCATTATTTTTCTATCCTAATATTTCAATTGCCATGTATGTCTTCTGGAAATTTGTAGAGGTCAGTTTCTTTTTCTCTTTGTTAAAAAAAGTTGCAATTAATATAGTGACAAAACGAAACCATACTACTCTTCTAAATACTTCAGGGCTTCTTCTTTTCGTATTGTAAAAACCTGGTGATACCTTATGGAGATGTAATTCTTTACGCGCTTTCGACGGGTTATGTTGCATGGAATGCAGTAATTGAACCTCAAACGCTTAGGGAAGGCTATTGGAAATTTCTTGTTGGTCTTACAGGAAATAAGTTAGCCTTTTGTTATATCATGGTTTCACATGGATTCGGTTTTTAAATCTTGATTCTGTTAACTCCAAAATAATTAAGTTTAGTTATGAAGATTCAAGTAGTGTTTTTATTGTCGGTGTGCTAAGTGTTTCGATATCTTTCTTCAATAGGGTTTTCTAAAGTGAATTGGGTACTTAAGATGTTCTATATCACATTGTAATTTCAGAATTGAGCTACTAAATAGACGCTTGTTTGATATTTTTGGATATAATTCTTCGAAGAAGTTTCCCCATTTTATACCCAAGCTGGATTCAAGGTTCACATCATTTAATGAAATATGGTCAATAATTCATCATGATTAGTCTTTCATTGTATTCTTTTGGACTCTCTAACTGTTGATTTGCTCTCAAAAATTATACAATTCATAACTAGTAAATTTTTCTCTACCAGGTAGCTGAACTGTGCAATTTGAAGTTATGACATGCTAATAAATCGTTATATATTATTATTTCTTATTTCAATGGTATGTTGATATCAAGCTATAACTTCTGCGGTGTGGTGTCCTTTTCTGTTGACTCTTACTTTAAGTGATATTGCTGCTGGATTGTTAGTGTACATTTCATATTATTGTTCATTGTTGATATTCCATACTTTTTACACATTTGGTTCTCCGCTGTGTATCAGTCTGTGATTTTCTTTCATCCCTGTAGTTTTTAATTCCGTTTTATCCTTAACTTTCTTATTTCTTGTAACCGTTGGTTGCCTTTTACCTCTTCAGCTCTCACTTATTATGCATAGTTGAGTGTGCTAATTTCTTTTTTTCTCTTTTTAAGTATTTATTCAAGATAAGCCATAAAATTAATTTCTAAAAATACTAAAGTTGTTACATGATGAATAAAAATCATAGTGATTTTTATATTGCAAATATTTACTTTAAAAAGTATATCGTTAAGACGAATTTGAATTTTTTTTTCGTTTCATATAATTTGACATGAGCAAGAGTCAGATAATTAGTGTAGTCTACATCGTGAGGTTTTATTCTTCCGAGGATTATTCGTGTTCAAGTGCCCTCAACTATCGTTGCCACTTTTTTCTAATTTTGGAGCTGCTTATAAGAGTTGGAATGAGCAATGGCAATATGATCAAATGATGACGGAACAAAGATGGAGTGATTCTGATTTGCTGTCGCATATTATTGATTTCATTCTAAATCACAAATTTTTATGTGACTATCCAAACATCAAGTTTTTATCAAACAATTTGTGGGAACGCATACCGCGCAGTGTAAGACTTCTTATCCAATCATCTGTTCTCAGCATAGAATTCACACTTATTATTGAAATCCTACCGGTGATTGAGGGACAGCTTTTGTGGAATACCGTACAATTCCGATCAATTTGACAGTTTCTCGCGATATTTTTTTATACACTGATTTCTGGAAATGAGCAAAGCAATAGGCATAGAAAATATGGATTCTTAAATGCGAGTAATATTTTTCCATGAAGTACATTATGCTAATGTAATTTTTATATGACTACCCAAACAAAAAATTTTTTCTAAATCTTAACTATGGCTTATTTCAGTGGCTGCATTATCTGGAAAAATTAAACAATGAAGAACTCAATTCATTTCCTTTCCAGAAACCAACGCCAGTAAGTTCTACATTTATAAGTATTCTGAACTCATTTCAAAATTGCCTTCGGCTTTTCACACACAATGAGAAGTTTCACGTTTTTATTTTAGATCCATAACAAAGGAATAATGCCATGGAATGTTGCAACACTTGAAGCAAAAAACTTTTCTTTCATTGTTTATCATCATTTGCATCATTGTAAAAATCTCGCGTTTCTAAGGTCAGGAGCAGACTTTAGGGTTCTTGCATTCTTAAATGGGTGAGAAGCAGGATGTGGATGACTGCAGTGGTATAAGGGAAGAGGTGCATGTATGAGAACTTCATGAAAATGTAGAAGTTTTAGCTCAGTTCTTTCATCCAATTTCAGTACTGTCCTGAGACTTTGCTCGAATTTCATGCTGCCAGTAATGAAATATTTACTCATCTATTCAATTCATGTTTGGCAGCAGTTTTACCCGATAATTTATCGCAGTTCACGACACCGTTGACCCAAACGAACACTGCTATGACTATTAAAAAACGCCATGAAGTTGAAAATTTCACAGCTTTGCTTATAATATACTGTAAACTTTACGGCATTAATCGAATCATAGATGTTGGATGTGGAGTGATAAGTCTTCTTCTATACATAATTTATTTTTCGTAAATTTCAAATTTTAATTTGAACTTAAAGTTATTCAAACGAGATAGTCAACTCGTAGCTGCATAGGTCGCCATAGTAGTATCGTTGACCTGCTAGAATTTTCATGACGAAGTTTGATTTTAAATTCCATGATTTTCAAATTTTTGAAGCTAACGTTCTTTTCTGCATAATGCATGCTTAACCAAGGAATGTTTAGGGGCATTTGGTCAGTCAGTTATCACAGTACTGTAAAGTTGTTGGGATTGATTGTAACGAGAAGTTTTGTCAACGTGCCAGAAAATCTTGTAGTGAGTAATGAAAAATCATTTTAAAATGCAGTAAACTTATAATGCACTTTTCATAGTCTTCATTCTAAATAATTTTCGTTTTTATTTCTGTTCAGCATACGCCAAAATTATTTGCTTGACTGTCAAGTGTGATGGCACAGATGATCAAAAGCTATTGGAATTTTTTTCGGGAGATGAGGTTTTGCTTTCAACTTGAATTGTTGGTCATGTAGTTTTTAATCCAATAGAGGTTTTATAATGCTGAACATGAGTTGCATTGCAGTATGAGTTACATTACATTGGTTTAAATGGCTTTATGTCAGAGATCTCAGAATAAATAAAACATAAAGTTAATAAGTGATAACTTTTCAGTGTGTTATTTTGAACTTAATTGTTATTTTAGCATGATCGAACTGCAATAGTTTCATTGCATGGCTGTGGTGATCTCCAACCAACACTGTTACGTCACTTCAGCAAACTGGATCATAATCGAGTGCCACTTATCTTTACCATTCCATGTTGTTATCACAAAATGTCGAATTTAAGTGAGTTTTTTTTTATCCAACGTTTCTTTCTGATGACTTTACTAGATAAATTTGAAGTTTTTCTTTAATAAATAAATCTCAGAAGGAAAAAGTATTTATGTTTATATAGAAAGAGAAAATTCAATGTAATTCCTTTAGAAAAGAAAATATTTCATTGGATAATGAGTGACGAAGTAAAAAAACGATCTGTCTCCCGTGAAGTGTTACCAGTAAGTGCGCTTAGGTTGGCCTGTCAAAAGCACATTTCCAGGTGAGTGGAAAAAATCATGTATTATATCCATTGTTCTTTACATCATGTTTAACTTTTGGTACCATTTTATTTATTTTTTCTTCTTTAAAATATTGCAGTTGGCCGAGTTCTGAAAAAGATCGGGAAAGGCATACAAGAAATTTTATCAATCGAGCATTGCTGGAATGCTTATACGACAAACGCAAGGGTGATGCTTTAACTCTTCTAATTTCAGCTTGCGTTTTTAGAGTGAAAATTTTTTGTTTAATAATGCATATGTTTCCTTTTCTCGTCCAAGTGGTAAATTTATAAATTCGTAGCAAAGTTTGATTTACTGAACAAATGGTATTGAATTCATACACAAATAAGTAAACTAAGTTCATGTGTAAATTAACATATGAATCAATCAAAATAACTGTGGAATTTAGTTTTTATAAATATCCGACGAACTTCCTTTAAACGCAGTTACAAAAACTTAATGTTTCAACTTCGACTTTTTTAGTCTTATTTTTCTTGTGCTTAATCAGTAACTGAGTGCTAAAGAGTGCAGTTTTTCAGATTTTAAAGAGTTTTCAGATAAATTCAGTAGACGAATTCTAATTTCGTTGATTTTCATATCATTTTTTTCATGAAATTTTACAGATATATATATGCATGGATAATATTTGAATTCTATTTTTTGATCCCAATCATGTATTTTACTTTAGACTTACCATCATTTCCATGTCGTAAGCTAAATTGTCATTTCGAAGATGTGAAAGACACTGGAATTAAGTTGGCATCCCAACTAGGAATGGATGAAAATGGTATTTTACAAATTGACCAATTGTACAGAACGATCTACGCCGACCATGAACCATATTTTGCATATGTCGAACCTTTTACGGTTAGTACTTAAAAAATTTAAGATCTTTAATACGTTATTCATTTATGTATTTCATTCTCTGGCCATTTACTTCTTCATTACTATCATAATCTTGAAAATTAGCATATTAAAGGGAGTCGACCTTATGAAAGTATACAGTTTTCTTATTGTATCAATGAGAAAATTTTTTCAAACTTTTTGTATCTTCTGCTCTTATTCTGCGTCTCATAAATTTACAATAAATTTTTTCAGCTTCTTCAAACGATGATGCAAACACCGTTGGAAATGTTAATTTTATTGGATCGTTTATTCTTTTTGAAGGAACATGGCTGTTCTGCGTATATATTATCTGTATTTAATCCAAAGATTTCTTCAAGACATCTTTGTATCATAGCTTCATCTTCTTGATGTGAACTTAAAAATTGCTGTCAAAAATTTGAATTAATTGCATGAGATGTGAAATCAAAAAAATTCGAAAGTTATTTGATCCTTGACTACAAAAAATATGTGAAATCTCCGTATCGATTTTTTCTTGTTTCAACATTAATTCAGATTTTAAAGACTGCGGGTGAAAGTTAATGGACATACGATGAATAGAGACACTTCGGATTCGAAGGAAACATCGTTGAGGATTTTATTTTTAGAGACAAATAGAATGGTAAATATCCTGAAACTTTAGCAGATGAACTTTTTCCGGATTTGGCGTTGCTTTATGCTATGATTAAATTTGAATATTATGTCATATGGATTACATGGATTACTTGTATGGTCCATCAATTCTGTGCAAAGTGCCTTCGGGTAAATTTAATAACGTGATAAACATGACAGCCTATTGAGCCCAAAGAATGTCATACTGCGATTTTTTCATTCATTTTATCTCCATTTTAATCAATTTTTTTCTATATTTCGAATGTGTTTCTATTTTTTATAAGTATTCGACTTGATAATATGTTCTCCTGAATATATGTTGGGAAAGAAAACCAACATATCTTTGAGGTTAATTATATTAATGTGAATAGAATTTAACCATTCATCTATCTCATTCCTATTTTTATTTTTAATGCTATTCACCTTACTTAACTCTATAAAAAACTCCCTCTCAATAATGGTATGCCTTATTATTGTTCTTTGACTTTGATTTTTCAACTGACTGATTCAATTTTTTTACATTTAAGTCATTTGCTTGAATGTATCACCTGGTATGGACATAAATTATAATTCTTTCAAGCTTTGTGTTAATTACTTGTCTGAGGAGTAGTTTTATAAAAGAACTCACTATCACCACTACAATTTTGATGTAGAAGTTTCAGATTTTATAATAGGAGAGATTTTCATATATTTATGAAGAGAAATGATCCATTTTTATCGATTCTAACTTTTTGGTATTTAATGAAATCTGTCCTTCAAATAACACCAAGAACAAAAAATTCTGCATATTTCATAAACAAACGGCTGCTAAAATAATAAATAAATCCTTCTTAACAGGAAATTGCAATTTTGCAATTATTAAGATTCGTTTTTAACCTTTAATAGTTTGGTTGCAAGCGTTATCTAGCGTCAGAAGTCAGTTCATCAATGAATAAAGTCAAAATATTCCCAAAACTTCTCAGAATCTCTATTAGTGTGCACAATTTGATTGCATTTCAACTTAGAAGAGAGG